TCGCGGTTCCTTTTTGCTTTCAGATTTTTCCTTCATAAATGAGTTGATTTTGGAGGCCGACTGCTAGCTTTTGAAAAGTTACCATCTCCTGTATACTACTCTGCCGATTGTGCATTTTGCAAATTTCTTCGCGATGGTCTCTCTTGAGGCAGTGGAACCCCAGCGGCAGAATAAGCGGAAAGCCGCGGCTGCAGGCATTCAGACGACATCACGCCCGATAAAACGACGAGCATCGAAGGCTTGCTGCTGTTGCAGGGCGCGCAAGGTCCGATGTGATGTGGTAGAAAATGGTTCTCCGTGTACCAATTGCAGATTGGACGAAGTTAAATGCGTCGTCACCGAGAGCAAGCGCAGAAAGTCAGTTTGCTTGCCCAAGAGCATAACCTCTGTGTATAACTTGAATGAAAGCTTATAGAGATCGGCTCTCAGGAAATCCCGAACTGAGGGAAGTGCCTCCAAGCCGTCACAAGTACAACCCGCCAACACACCAGATGATTCCGCATTTGCCTTCAACACCAATAATGATGATCATATCAAAGCACCCATTTCTGATCCGCTAGCTCCGTTGTCCCCAAACCAACTCTCGGTGGATTTCGACCACGGCCACCACGTTCCGCACCTGCTATGTTCGTCTTTTATAACCTTTCTAGATATGACCTTACCATTTTACTAATGTTTCTTGTAGATCAAACGCAAGGCAGCCGGGTCAAGCATGAACATCGACAGCGAAGAATGTCAAGCATTTCGGCCCGTCCAGTTGCTCACTCCCTGCGCAATATGACCTCTGCTGTTCAGCAACTACTTGATGTTGATTTTGGAGGGCCCATTTCCCCAAAAATCTCCCAGCAAGCTAAAGGCTGGCTGCCCAACTTTATTCGTCCTCTTCCAGCGAAGTTTCAGTCTGACGATATTGCGTACCTTGAAGCTAAGGGTGCTTTGACAATTCCGAGTCAGGGACTTCGCAATGAACTTATGAAAAGCTACCTGCAATTCGTCCATCCGTACATGCCGTTGTTAGAATTGGATGAATTTTTACGGACTATAGCGCGGAATGATGGTTCTCTTCGCATGAGCCTTCTTCTGTTTCAAGCGACTATGTTTGCCGGAACGGCCTTCATTTCTATGAAGCACCTGATAGAGGCAGGATACGAATCAAGAAAGGAGGCCAGGAAAGCTTTCTTTCAACGGGCTAGGGTATGGAGAATTTATATTTGTTTTGTTGTCCGGAATTCTCACTAACCTATCTCTCAACTTCTAGCTTTTATATGATTTCGATTATGAAGTTGATCGGATATCCTTGGTCCAATCCCTTTTGCTGATGACTCACTGGTATGAAATGCCGGATGACCAAAAAGATACTTGGCATTGGATGGGTGTGAGCTTATCCCTTGGACATACCATTGGCCTCCATCGAGATCCATCTACCTCCTGTATGGACTCTCGACGCCAGAAACTTTGGAAACGTGTTTGGTGGAGTATCTACACCCGTGACCGACTTATCGCCCTTGGCATGCGACGACCCACACGGATCAAAGACGAAGACTGCAATGTTCCTATGCTCACGTTGGACGATTTTGATATCCAGCCTCTCTCCGCGGAAGCTCTACAAATTGTTGGAGATTGTGAATTGGTCCATAACATTGATCAACAAAGACAGCTTGCATCCATGTTCGTGGAGAAATCCAAACTATGTCTTTGCATAAGTCATGTCCTTCGCGCGCAATATTCTATTCTTGGACACAAGTTTGGAGGCACGACAGAGACTACAATGATGTTGGTCCCAAAAAAGGCTACATCGGAAACATGTGAAGTCCGAAAATGTGATCAGGAACTGGAGGCCTGGCTGGCTGATCTCCCGGAAGCGGCTCAGTATCGACGCCCTTCATCACCCAGCTTTGCGAATGGGGAAGAAGTCCTTCATATCCATCGGGCATTGCTGAGGATGATATACCTCACAACCTCTAGTGCATTACATCGTCCACAAGTTCTTCCACCTACGCCATTCCCAACGGTTGAAACTGGGCTTCAAGACCTGTCCCGCAGCAAAGTCCGCTCTGCTGCAATTGAAATCACAGATATTGCCCAACGCTTGCATACGATGGACCTGACACGTTACCTCCCAACCACTGGAGTCACCGTTCTGCTCCCTGCCGTCATCATCCACCTCCTTGATATCAAATCTAATGACCTCGATGTTCGATCCGCCAGTTTGCATCGCTTTTATCAGTGTATGCAGATCTTGCAAAGACTGAGAGAAATTTACGCCTCTGCAGACTTCGCAACTTCCTTCCTTGAGGCGGCCATTCGGAAAGCTGGTATTCAAGTTACTACTCAGGTTCCTCAAGGGCGACAAGGGCGATCGGTTCAACCAGGCGCAATTCGTTTCTCAACCGGACATGTCGATACCTTGACCCCGCCTCCAGACAGCATGACGGATAAAATTCCAGACTTCACATATCCTTCAGTTACGCCCAATGTTCACTTCGCACAGGTGGAGAAACTAGATACTTTTTACACTTCAACTCCACCCCAATCCGTGGGAAGTGAAAACGGAAGCATTAACAACATCCACCCAGATTTTTTCTCAGACGAAGCCCATGTCAACGGTGCTGAGGATAGTGACTCGAATCTTGCAGAGTTCATGAATCTTGCCCACGATGCAGACATCAACCAGAACGACCTCGACGCATTGATAAATTTCGATGATACAGGTGCGAACTACTATGCCAGCGAAAATGCCATTGGTGGCATTGACCCCACAATTTCGAGCATGTCAAACGACAACAGCAGCAGATTCAGCCTTGATCACATTGACTGGATGCAAGACTTTCCTGAGAACAACAACAACCACAACATGGGTACAGACAATAATAATAACATGCAAATGGACTCTCATCATGGCCAGAACCCGTCGGACTCCGACGACAAAGCTGGGGAACAGGTCGATACTTCCGACAGATACTCGAAGCATGCATTCGTGGAGAACGTAGGCGCAAACGCTGCGAGCCCCATGTCTCCTAACGGATCCGAGTCATTTCAACTAAGAGCAATCAGCATGCCAATTGGTATGGGCTTCAATGCATCGATTTGACCTAGTGTATGTGACTCATGTCCTGATATGCCAACAATCCACAATCCTTAATGTAACGACACAAGCTTTAAGACTGTTTTCCGTATTTTTTTCCTCCTTTCCTATTTTTATTACGAAAGATCAAATTAGACCTGGGTGTTTATAAGGACTAGTTTTTTTCTCTCTTTTTTATTTTATTTTATTTTATTTTTTGGGTGTGTGTGTGTATGTGTATGCTTCATTTGTATGTCATTTGATTTATTATTATATTACTATGTGATTTCTTCATTCCTCCCTCGTCTCTTCTTTTTTTCAGCCCGGAAAACTCGGCGAGCCATGATGATTGATCTTTTTACTCAAGAAAATGATATGCTTAATAAAAGTAAACAAACGCCTTCGGTTGCCTACTTACTAGTTTCAAGCTGCCCCTGTCCATTTCCCCTTTTTTTTTCTCTTGCGAACGTGAAAAAAAAAAAAAGATTTCCTATAAAATTTTACCAATTCATAAGAATTCTATCAGCTGCTGAGTCCCAGGCTGCAACGCCAAGTTCGTATTTCCTTCATCAAATTGAAGTTGTCCACAGCAGATTGTTGTGTCACGGCTATTGAAAACGTTTGTTATTCACCCTGCCCTCACCCCTGTTATATATCCAGCCTGTACTGGAATATCATATCGTGCTAGGATAGGATGCGAGACCACTCCAGGAGGCCAACTCGACTCCGACTGACTCCAACTGACTCGACTGACTCTCTTGACCCCGACGGCGGATACCTCGCGCATACTCCATTTTGCTTCTTGGAATCGAGACATGATCTTTGCCGAAGAAACCCCCATTCCCCATTCATCTACTCAGTTCTCCTAATAGCAAGGGGCGAGGGGAAATGGGCACGATCGGCGATTCCGGGCTCCCAGTTCAGAGGATTGTTTGCGTTGATTGCTGGATGGGATTTACCGCAGGACTCGGTCTGTTCCATTTTACAATTTCTTCTTCGATAGGTATGTGTTAATAGGCAGTGAGTGAGTGAGTGAGTGAGTGAGTGGCCTTGCTCCCTCCCTACCCTTAACACCATAACCCCTAAGACGAGAGAAAGCCAGCCCGCCCGAAAAAACAAAAAGATTCTTTTTTTTTCAACGCCATCCAAACCATTACTAAATGGACATTGTTTTTATAGATATATAGATATCAAATGTACGAAAATCCAGCGTTTGCATTAGAAATAGAAAATAAATAACTTACATATCAGACTTCATCGCTGGCTGGCAGCTTCTATCTAATCTTTGCTTTCGACGATCAGAAAGGGGAGAGAGAAGGGGGGGAAATAAAAAAATCCACACACCACCACCACCACATGAAACTAAAACTAACTCACTCCTCCTCTCTCAAAAGAGACATATGGAGATACATTTATATATATAAGTATTTACCTTACGTACCGTAGCCGTAGTTACATACTTTCTTTCTTTAATGTCCTGTACTTATTTATATTCATCTCATTACTTTACTTTCCTTTACTTCCTATTAATAAAAACAAATAATTACCAAAAAAAAAAGAAAAAAAAATTGTAACATCAACATCAACATCAACGTCGACATCGTCAGAGATCAGAGGAGGGGGAAAAATAGAAGAAGATACCATATTCGAAAGAAAAGAAACGAAAAGAAGAGAAGAGTAGTAAGGAGGAGAAGAGAAGAGAAGAGTTTTAAGTTCCCAACCCCAAGGTTCCTTCCACATTGCGCTTTCATCTCTCACCAGCACTAAACCACAATCTAACTCCCAATCCTAACCAACATAGCCCAGGTTAGCTGGTTGGTTGTTGGACTGACAGGCTGGCTGACTGGCTGATGATGAAGGGGGGAGGTGTTCACTGTTCACTGTTAACTGTTCGCTGATCACTGGGCACTGATCACTGGGCACTGGCACACAGATTCGCATTGCATTGGATTGCATTGCATGGCATATAGGCATCGACATCACATCGCATCAACATCAAGATCAAAATAGCTGCCCCGTTGTCTGTCCTGTACATCATCTGCCACCACCATCGAAAATCCTCTTCAAAACAACAAAGAAAAGAAAATTCAAAACCCACGCACACACAACCACATCACATCTATCAACAAACCTTACAAGTCCCAATTACATCACGATCCATTCCAATCCCACACCGCGTTCAACACCACTCCACCGCCCGCTACACACACTTCACTCCCCTCCACATCTTCCGACATCCTCCTCGCCATCCGGGTATTTAAACGTGAACAAAAAATCATAAAAGAAAAAAAGCAAAAATTATTAAGTGTTAGGTGTCGGGTTTAGGTGTTAAGGTGTTAATTAAGATCCGCACCGGAGGAGAAACCACGGCCTTCCCGCATCGCCGTGGGTGCGACTTCCTCCAGCGTCTCGTCGGAGAACTTGAGATCCTCCTCGATGTCGACGGTGTCTTTGATCTTGAAGAGGATGACGGGCAGGGCGATCAGCATGCTTCCGCACAGCAGGCCCCAGTTGATCGCGAATACGGACATGAAGGGGACCTTGTGGTCGTCGATTCTGTGGAGTTGTAGGGGGATGGTTAGTTGGGGTTCGTTGGTCTAGTTACATACACACACAGAGAAAGAGAGAGATTGTGTGGGAGGGATATGAGCGACACGGAACGGGAAGGGTTGGGAACTTACTGCCAGGTAGCGGCTCCACCGGCGGATTGGAGACCTTTGTAGAAACCAGCGAAATTGGCAAGCTTACGGCTGTTGTTACTCAGGGCACCCATGAACCTGGAATTTTCGAAAAGAAATATATCAGCAAATCTATTTTCTCCCCTTTAACTTTCGACTTTGATATTCCTTTCTGAAATCAAAGTGACGATGTAAACAAGAAGGTGGGGGAAACCACTCACCAGTACACGCAGGTTTGGTACGCAGCGTCGTAGACACCGTAGAAGATATACAGGAACATACCACCAACATAGTCGGAGTCCTTGAAATCGATACGGGGCGAATCCTTAGGGGCGGTATCCGCGCGAGTATACCCGCGTTGCCAGGCATAACCACCACCCCAGACGGCCATGGTGAAGACGAAAAGGACACCCAGGCCAAGACGAGCACGAGTGGTGCGGCGCAGAGAGGGGGTATCCAACATGTATCCAAAGCCGAACGCGCCAAACATCTGGGCGAGGTAGTAGAGGCAGCTGTTCAGGGAGCGAGTGCGGATGTTGAACTTGGCAGCGTTGACGTTGTTGAAGTGGTAGGCGTAGAACCAGTTACTGGCGATGAACATGGGGAAGAGGGCGACGATGTACCAGTCGGAGATCAGAACCTCGCCAAGGCCCTTGATTTCGGACCACCAGGATGGGTTCTTCATGACAATGACCTGCGAACCGTCATCACGACGGACGTATTTGGACTCAACCAGGAAGAAGCAGAGAACGAAACCGATGAACATGAGAACCATGAAGGCGATGTAGGTTCCGTCACCAACGGCTCTGCCTTCTTTGACGTTCAGTGTTTGGAACAAAGGAACCTATGGATCACCACGATTAATTCAAACTCGAAGATGAAAAACAACAGCATAACAGAGAAAGAAAAAGAAACCTTACCAAGCCTCCAATAACACCACCCAAGTTGAAAATGATCCAGAACCAGGAAATATATCTGCCCTTGGACTTCTCATCCGGATAGCTCATCATAACGGCACCCTGGGCGCACCACAGGCAACCAGCACAAGCACCCAACAGCGCACCGGCAAAAGTGAGGAAGCCCAAGTTTTTGTTGTGGTTGTACGACAACATAGATCCGACGTAGAGGAAGTAACCAAAGCCACCGAAGAGAAGGGTCCAGCGGAGACCAATACGATTGGCAATGGAACCGGCAGCGAAACCGACGACGGCAAAGGTACTGTAGAGAGCGGTGTTTCCGACGTTGACGGCATGGTCGTCTTGCTGGCCACCTCCACCCAGACCGTTCAGGGCATTGAACATACCAGGGCAGAGGAAGCAGACGAAGGAGACGAGGAGCAGCTGCGAAGAAGGGGAGGCATAGTATGGAAGGGCGAACGATCCGATCTTAGGACGCTTGTACATCCATGGCTTTCCTGTGATTTCCGGGGCGGACTGGACGATTTCCTCATCGACCGGTTTCTCGCTGTGAGGATCCAAGTGTTTCTCACCGTGAGAAGACATGGTGGTGGCGGGAATTGAGTCGAAACGGAGCAACGACAAGATACTAAGGTGTCAAGAAGGGTGTTGTGTATATCAGAATATATAGTAACCCCCTTGAAGATCTGCGATCATCGAGTGTTAGCAATGGACCACTCAACCGCTTCCCACGCTTGGAAAAGGATAACAAAAAGGAACGCGAGAAGAAAAGGTAAAAGAAAAGTACAAAAGAAAAGACAGAAAGAGCTCTTATCTAGAAAGAGGGGAATACATGCGACGCCCAAACGAGCAAATGATTGGAAGGGGCAATTTATGACAGCATGTCAGCGATGATGCAGGTCAGCACGGGGATATATAAAATAAACACCTTATTTGCCTCGATCGATGCCTGCAATCTGCGTGGGGAGGAGACTGGGGGAGGGGGTGATAGTGGTAGGGAGTAATCTCAGTAGTGGGACTATGGAGACCCCAATTTCAACCACGCGTCTAACTAGTGAATTGATAAAATGAAAATTTAAAATAAAACAAGGTGTTGGACGCAGCAGGGGTACAAGGAGGAAAGGAGAAAAGGAGAGCACAATGGCCTCACAAGGGAGAGTAGGGCTTGGAGATGGTGGGCAAGAAAGAGAGGATAGTTGTAACAATACACTCCGGTGTTGAGATGTGTGTTTGATCACAGTGAGTGAGGGTAATTGAATCCCAAGAATTCGAGGCGCAGAAGAGCGGGACCAAGATTAAAACACAATCGATCCGACCTACCTAGTCCATACACACACACACACACACACACGCACACGAGGATTGAATGAAGAATTATTCAAGATCCAATCCAAGAGAGAGAAGCAAAGGTTTAAAAGAAAGCAATGATTAAAATAAAATGGATCGACGGCACCAAATCGCACACACAGCACGCGATTGTGACCTCCGCAGGAAGCTTTGACAGCCGCTTCGTGGGGAAAGAGGGTTTGTTTGAATGGAGGAAGCGGAGAGAAAGAGCGCGCACGAGGGAAGGAAAAAAAAAAAGAAAAACAAAAAACAAACCAGGTTTAAAGATGAGCGTCGGAGGGGCAAGATATAATAACGTCCCCGGGATGGGGGGAGGGGAGGAGGAAGAGAAGCAGGCAAATCAGGCAAGCGAGCGATCTGAGTCCCCACGAAATACGTTCGAGACTAATTTAAGACGGAAAAAGTAAATAACCAACGAAAGGGGAAAAAAAAGAGAGGAGAGTAAGCTGGGGAACAGTGAGCGCGTGAGAGCGAGACAGAACGAGACAGAGCGTGAGAAGCCAACCGCTTGGCCAAGACGAGAGGCAAATGCAAAGGGTCGCAGTGGAGGGCCGTTGGCGTGGTTGCTGGCGTTGGCTGGCGGATGAGACAGTAGTAAAGCAGTTTTAGCAGAGTCACAGAGTCGCAGAGTTGCAGAGTCGCAGAGGATGATATGGAGCGGGCACCTGGGGCAACCACTAGCTAGCACGCGACAGACAGCCAGTGACGCAGGGTGAAGAAGGGGGAGAAAATGGCAAAAAAGGGAAAAAAGGGGAAAATTGGAAAAAGGAAAAAAGAAACAAAGAGCTGGGGACGATTGGAGAAAGTGCCCGCGGATGGCGGAAGGCGGATGGCTGGTGGCTCGAGAGACCTGGGGGATGAGATTGGAGAACTGGGGGAAGACTGGGGAAACGGAGGCCAGGGGGGGGGGGGGGGATGGCGATGGCGATGGCGATGGGGATGGGGATGGGGATGGGGACGGATGCACCCAGATCAGAATCCGACAAGACACACGGACACAAGCAACGCGAGCGCGAGAAAAAAAGAGAGAGCGAGAGCAAAAACTAGCGCGAGATAGCAGTGGAGGACGCTAGAGCAAGCCGGGAGTCGCAGCGGCCAGTCCTTAGCCAGTCCTTAGCCAGTCCTTAGCGGTACCACTGGGATGGATCAAGGTCAGAGGGGACTCATACGCTACATCCAGAATGAGGTCTGAACCACCAAAGCAGGCGATGGGGTAGCGATGGAAGCTGGCCCACGAAGTAACAGGTCACGAGCTAGCCAGCTAGCTGTGGAGTCCGTAGCAGTCGCAGGTCGCAGACTCGCAGACTCGCAGCTCGTTGCAGCAGCGCCAGCAGCGCCAGCAGTCAGTCGTTGATGTGCAGTGTACAAAGAAGTCGCAAGTACACAGGACGTGCCCAGGCAGGCGAGATCAAACGGCGGAGGAGGATTCAATTTCCTGGATGGAGATTGGTGCAGGCAAGCAGTATAATCACGCTACGGAGGGATGTACTGTACGCTATTGCTATGGAATAATCTCTCTCTCTCTCTCTCTCCCTCTACGGACAGTACGCGGATATCCTTCCTCTGTGGTCCGAGGATGGCGATTCGAGGGCCGGCAGGGGTGGTTTTAATCACAGGATCAGAAAAAAAAAAAGAGCAACGAGAGAAAAAAAAAACTGGAGAAAAGCAGCGGCCCTAGGTTCTAGCCGGGAAATGAAGCAGGGGATCGGGACACTTGGGGGATGATGGCCAGTGACCATGGAAAGATGGACAGAAAGCACCCCGGACACGAAGCTTGCTGGCCAGAGCTAGCCAGATGAGGATCGAGTCTGTTGGAGCTTACCCGACACTACGACTACGACTTCTGGCTCCCACGACAGCATTCAACTAGCACATCTCGCAAAGAGAAGTGGTTGTCAGATTAAGGATCGCAGGCCACAAAGCCACTCGCGGAAGTGGGTTAGCTCGCCGGGCACTTTCTTCCCCCTCAAAACAAAAGCCAAAGGTTAAAATAAAAAAAGAACGACAAAAGGAAAAAAAATGAGAAAAAGGAAAAACCAAAAAAAAAAAACAAAACCAGCCAACGATTGGCGCGTCTGGGGCCAGGAGGCGGCGGCGGGCTTACATCAGCCATACATCGGCCAGGTTTCGATTGGCGAGGGACGCCACGGCGGAAATTAAAAACGTCGCTGGCTGGAGTCTTTCGATCTTTTGCTTCTTCTTTCATGCAAGAATTCAGATAAAATAAGCGGCGCGAAGGTGGAGATGGATCGCAGATGGACTATCTCCAGCCATGACGTTGTTATAAGTTTGGAGAACCCGTGGAGTCACTGGTACTTACTGTGTACATGTCCAGTACATCAGTATATATAGATATTGATATATTCATTTCTGTCCGATCTGTATATGAACACAATCCAGCCTGGCAATGTCTGCTCCACGCACTGCTCGCTGTCCCGCGCTCCTTTGCTGCAAAGAGACGAAAGAAGGTCCTTCTCGTTCTCTTCTCGTTGTCTCCATGTGTGCTGTACCCTTCCCCACACTAACAAACAAACTACACCCGGGGACCCCAGCGAGAATGAAGTACTATGTACCTGCTACCATCGTCGCTTGGAGACACGGTGCAGTCCACACGTAGCTATCCATGTACCTGTCCATGTACCTCCACCTGTACCTGTACATCGAGGTCGCCTCCATTCTCCTTCCTCTCCTGGATCTTGAAACCAAGGGCGAAGTTTCTGTGCCAAAAATAAACGGCCGAAACTCTGATCAAACTTTGTGGTTCAGCCGATGCCCAACCCAAAACAAGTGTGTGTTCCATCTGATCATCCATTCCATCCATCCCTTTCATCATCCATATTCCTTTCCATATTCCATCCAATGTGGCGGCCAAACCGAACCCAGCCCAACCTATGAACAAACAAAAATAATGCCATAAATAAGAATGGATGATGTCGAGGTCTCAACCCACCTTGGGTTCGTCAGTTAGTTGCTCTCCTCGCCCCTAAACACTAGTCCCCAAGCCCCCCCACGCCACGCAGAAGGAATGATGTAACCCCAGCATGGCGCCCTACAACTCAAAAAAGAAACAGGGAAAGAAAAAGAAAAGAAAAGAGGGAACGCTGTGTGGATTCCCCACAAGAAACGGCCCTCCTAGGCAAGGCGAGGTACGAGAGCAAAAGCAATGCAGGCTAAGCAAGCTAAGCAAGCTAAGCAGCGCAACGAGCAACAGCCCAGTGCAACGCTGCGGTGGAGCCGGAACTTTGATGCGCTTCTGCAGGTTTTTGGGGCGCAACAAGGTGGTACTGTGGCATATAACGATGCGTGATGCTGGAACATGTGTGATTTGATTCGATTGGCGTGACTCTCTCTCTCTCTCTCTCTCTTTCTCTCTCTCTCACTGTTCATTTTCTATTTCGTCTTGTAGCATGGTAGTCTGTATTGTATTTTGTATTTGTATTTGATATCAAGGAGAGGAAAAAGGGTCAGTCTCCCGATCGCTTTTTTGTTGCATGCCTTTCATCAAAGGGATAAACCCCCCCCAACCAACCCCCACGGCGAACCCCGGAGAGTGAGATTCTTATTTCCCTGGAGATTTTGCTTCGGGGGCGAATGATCAATGATTTCATATCGTCATAACTAAACTTGTTCGTTAAATTATAGTTGGGGCACTTTACAAGAGAGAGAGACTGCTGTGTGCTCCCAAATAAATGCGCGCTTCCTCAGTTCCTGCTCAGGACGCCCCTTTCTTTCTCTTCCCCCCCTTGTAATAGTTTACTTGTTACTAGTATCCAATTGGCGGAATGAGGATGGGCATGATAATGTCCTGCAGTTTTGTATACAGAGCCTGGAATTGTCGGGCCAGTAAACAGGTAAAACATAAAAATCAAATCAAACGACAAAATACGGGGCAGGTTGCAGGTTGTGCTTGTTGTGGTGTTACATCCCTTTCTCTTTCTCTTCCTCCTCCTCCTTGTTTGCTTGCTCCTCGCTTATCTATCTCTCTTATCTACGCAGCTATCTCTCTGGATCTGGCGAATTGCTCAAGCTCTTTTCCCTGTTTTTTTTTTTTTCTTGATTATTTCTCCGTGCGCCGGCCAAGCCCGTCGTGCAAGGTTTCCCCCACCCACTCCTAGGATGTAGGATGTTAGTGAGTCGACATGGTACGAGGTATCCATGGGATGAAGAAGCCCATCATGGAAGCCCAGCCAGCAAGTGTGTCATCGGCCCATCATCAGTCGTACTTGCACGAGCAAGATAAGCTAGTTCCTTTCGCTAGCTCGAAGTTCAGGGTTAGGGGAGCAACCGTGCATGTCCACCAAAGAGCTTCCTTCTCTTCTTCTTCTTCTGGAGATATCCACTTCGCCGTCGATGTTCATGGGGGGGTGATGGGGGATGGGTAGTGTAGAATACAGATACAGGATACAGCGAAGGGCGTATGGGGCGTATGTATGGTCGTGACCGCCCTCGTCTGGCCGTATCTGTGATACGATACGTAAGTTACACGGTGCGGTACGGGGCTTGTCATGGCAAAATACACTCCTCCACTCCCCCACGACTGTGATGTCATGTCCAATGTCATGTCCATGTCGCAGTATCATTCTATTCTCGCATTCAAAAAAAGGGTTCATCTCCTCGAGAAAAAAAAATATAAACAATATAACTAATTAAAAAAATATAATTAAAAAATATAATTAAATTTTTTTTTACAAATATCAAAACAGAATCATATCACTCAACCTGGTGGCCCGGCAAACCCGGGACACACGGACCATGGTTGCTCTCAGACAGCTACATCGCCGCCGCGCCCATGCATCGCTACATCGTGCTGTACCCGTCCATTCTCTTATTCTTCATCCAGCCCTGTCTTGTCGCCGAGAGAGTGAGAGAGAGGGAGAGAGGGAGGAGGGAGAGAGAGTTGTGTCTTGCTCGATTTCTCCGGTCAAATCGGCTGCGCTCCTTAGCCATCGTGCCGTTACATGGGTCCTACTATCCTAAACTACTCTCTCTCACACACACACACACATACACCTTGGCGAAAGCAGGTTGCTGAAGAAAACATTAGAGCGGTTGCGCAGTAGAGCAGCGATGTAGGTTAATCTCGCTACTCACTAACTAACTATGTATGTGGGGAGGAATTACCTAGATATCGAGGCGAAGGGGGGGGAAGGGATTTGATGTGATGTGATTCCTGCGTAGATGGCCTGGCCAGAAACCAAGAGTAGAGTGTCTCTTCTCGCTTTGGAGCAAACATCCTAACCTGCATCCCGTGTAGGGCTACGGGCATTTATTCTTTTTGATTGCCATCGCCGTCATCACCGTCATCTGCGCTCCATCAGCTTACGGACAGAGTTATCAAGTCTCCCCATCAGCAATTGGTATTGATATTTACTTCTCCCCCCCCCCCTGTCCCGGTGAATCCAGCAATCAATCCCTCTTCTTCTTTCTTGCTGCTGCTGCTGCTGCTGCTGTGTGGCGTTGGGTATGTTTTTTTTTTATTGTTTCTCTATATATGACTAAAAATAAACATCATAAACTTTCGATTCTACCAAGAAATTCTTTTCGAAAAGCTTCCAGCTTACTCTATTTCAGTTAATCGATACAAGAGCTAATATCCTCATTCTCACCAACTCTATCAATATAGAAGAAGGAAACACAAAAGGAGGAAGAAAGAAGAAGGAGAAGGAGGAAACAAAAAAAAAGGAGTAAATAAAAAAGAAGAAAAAAGACCCCATCACCATGCCCTCCATAGCCCAACATCCCGACACCCCCGTACCCACGCCGCGCATCACAAAGTTCACAAACTGCCGCCTCCCGCTCAACGGCCATCTCGTCGAGCAGGATCTCTGGGTCGACTCCGCAACTGGCAAGATCCTCCAGGACCAGCAGGCCTTCTACGAGTTCCAGCTCTGTCCCGACCAGACCGTCGATCTGGGCGGGCGCATCCTGGCCCCGGGCTTCATCGATGTGCAGCTCAACGGCGCGAGGGGGTTCGATTTCTCCGTGCCACAGCCGACGAAGGAGGAGTATGATGCCGGGTTTCGCAAGGTGAATCTAGCGCTGGTGAGGACGGGGGTTACGTCGTATCTGCCGACGGTGACGAGTCAGGAGAGCTGGGTGTATAAGAAGGTATGTATCGGTGGAGGAATGAGAAAGGGGGGAAGGGAATGAAAGAGGGGAAAAGGAAGAGGGGGAAGAAAGAGAGGAAGAAAGAAGGGAAAAGACATGATAGAGAAAGCTAAATGGTTAAACCCACAGGTCCTGCCATCGCTAGGCCCCTCCGGTGGACCCCGCCGCGCAGAGGACGGAGCGGAATCTCTCGGCGCGCACGTCGAAGGGCCCTTCCTCAGCCCTGGCAAAAACGGCATCCACAGCCCCAGCGTCCTCCTCGCCGCCAACACCGGCTTCCAGGACCTAATAGACTGCTACGGCGCCGAAAACCTCCTCGCCTCGCAAGACGTTCCCTCCTCCGCCCCGATCACCCCCACCACCACATCCACGTCCGCCTCCTCCTCCGCCTCCTCCGCCTCCACCACCCGCAGCAACCCCACCGCAAACATAAAAATGATCACCGCCGCCCCCGAAGTCGGCATCATGAACACCCTCATCCCCACCCTCGTCTCCCACAACATCATCTACTCCATCGGGCACTCTGACGCCACCTATGAGCAGGCCCTCGACGCCCTCGCCGCCGGCGCGACCATGATCACGCACCTCTTCAACGCCATGCGGCCCTTCTACCACCGGCACCCGGGCATCTTCGGCCTGCTGGCGCAGCAGTCGCAGCAGGCCACGCGGCCCTTCTACGGCCTGATCGCCGACGGCATCCACCTGCACCCGACCAGCGTGCAGATCGCGTACCACGCGCACCCGGCCGGCATGGTGCTGGTGACCGACGCGATGAAGCTGTGCGGCATGCCCGACGGCGTGTACGAGTGGACGAACGGCGAGCGCATCATCAAGCGCGGCGCGCTGCTGACGCTGGAGGGCTCGGCGGAGGGCAAGATCGCCGGCTCCTCCGCCACGCTGATCGAGTGCGTGAATAATTTCCGGCGGTGGGCGGGGACCGGGGTGGTGGAGGCCGTCAGGGCGGTGACGGAGACGCCGGCGCGGATGCTGGGGTTGGAGGGCGTGAAGGGCGTGTTGGTGCCGGGGGCGGATGCGGATCTGGTGGTCCTGGGCGAGGATGCGGAGGGGACGTTGACGGTGGATCAGGTCTGGAAGTTTGGCGTGCGGGTTTTTGATTGCGTGAAGGATGCGCAGTGGGAGGCGTGAAGGGTGGTTTGTTGATTTGCACCCTCCCTCCCCCGTCTCCCCCTTCCCCCCATGTTTTATTTTATCTCATTTCACCGCCGCGTTGGAAAAAACATTGAGACTCTACCCGCGGGCGCGGAAAGAGACGTTCTGTTCTTATGTATCGGATGTTTCGGGAAACCCCCTTTTTTCTCTTTTCAAAGTTTTTCAATTTTCTTTTTGTCACATATAACTACATTGCCACGATTAGTCGACCTTACAGATTGAATAACGTACGATACGTAGCTAGCTATATCTAGTTTGATAGAGATTTTTTTTTAGAGATAGAGCGCCAGCATTTTGAATTTCATGTATCATGTATCTACCTATGTACAAGCACAAGTACAAGTAACCTTGTTTACCTTTAACTTTTTAACCTTTTGACTCCTGCATAATTCGGATTGAATAGCATTCCTCTCTTGCCTACGAGTATTTAGCTCATCTGAACACTATCTGTGCGTCTTTCGTAGGGGCATTTTGTTATATCTGCATATAATAGAAGCCAGTTTGTACTCTTGGGGCGAAAATACCCTCCCCCCCCTCCTTTTTGCGTAGATAGGCAAAGTTGGCCATACATATATGCCTAGGGTATCCCAACAAACATAGCTAACATATATATATGTAAACCAAAAACAAAAATAAAATAACCGTCTAAATAAATCCCACGAGCCCATCGCCCCTTGCTCTGCCGATGATCGTGGTATGGGCGCGGATTGAAAATATCCATATATATATATACGAGTATGTATATATCATAAAACCACGAGGATATTACTACCGATCACGGATACGCAAGGGGGGCTGGCTAATGCTTTTTGTTCTCGTTTCTCGTTTAGTTGCCCCTTCACTGATCGATCCCGGCTCTTCTTCTGCCGAATGGAGACGATGATATATATATGTATGTGTATTCCCTCCTTCCCCCCTCTCCTCGCTTTCACTGAATACCCTGAGAAAAGGAAAAGGAAAAGGTTATGAAGCATGTAATTTCGATCGTGTAAGCTCCAGATATCCTTAGGCAATGTTCCCTCCTCAGACGGGTACACATACACATTGTCTCCAGGGGAATGGATGGACATGTATATATATATATATATATATATATATATATATATAGAAAGAGAGGGAGAGGGAGAAGGGGAGACGGGGAGAAGGGGAGACGGGGAGAAGGGGAGACGGGGAGAAGGGGACCGCGATCCAGTCCGCCCACCTCGAATTGCCCAAACACACGCGTAGGTGCCGTTTCCAGTGGGAATACGGGGGAGCCAGTTCCCGTCAATCATTTCGAAATGTAGGAAGAAGAAGAAGAAACAAAACAAACCAAAACAAAAAAGGCAACGCATCCATCCCCAACTTCAGGCGCACCAACTGGAGTTTTTCCCCAGCAATAGTCCCGGCAGGGGATAGGGATAACTTCCAAGAATGGAATGGGGCTCTGGCATGCAGCAGGAGGATAGACAGACAAACAGACGGGACAGACAGCGGCATGGCAGTATCGGCTCCTGGTGGGAGATATAATCAGTAATGTGCTTTCTTACACCCCTACCCCTCCTTCACAGGCCTATGTCCTTATGCGGGTAGATATTTTTCTTTATCTAGGCTTGTGAAGTTCGATGGAGATTGGGTAGGGGGGTGTGTCGTTGCCCTGTGCGCGCTCGGAGCATGCATGGTATGCAACAGGCCAGTTCCCATGTGTATGATATCTGTGGTAGGCAATGGACAACCTGTATCGAGTAAAAACCAAAAGAGAGAGAAAGAAAGCAAGAAAGAAAGAAAACCCGCATGCGGAATTAAAAACAATTAATAATAAACTAATATAATATAGCAAAGCTAAAGCTAAGTAATTGTTGCAAACCCCAAATATTCCAGTTCCCATGCCATAGCCCTTTCTACTCGATGCAAATCGAATATTAAGGGGTACAGGGAGTGCGTGTGGGAGGTAAGTTGACATTGCCCATCCAAACACACAAACCTGAAATAAAAAGGGTTCAAATTAAGAATGTTAAGATGAATAAAGAAAAAAAAAGGGGGGGGGGAAACAAATAAGAAGTGCTTCAGGCGGGAAAATAAAAATAGACCGATCTCTCTTTGTCACACACTCACACATACAAACGCACGTTTTATCCCTTTTCCCATCTTCGTGAAATTTAATTTAAAAAAAAAAAAATGAAACAATCAAATAATCAGGTCAAGTCAATTCCCGTCAAATCAAATCCGATGTGGGAAAACAGGGAGCAGTAGGCGTTGGGAGAAGGAGAAGAAAATGTCCAGCCGATGGACTGGATGGATGGATGGGAGTCCTAACTCCTGACACAGACGCTTCCTGTTTTCGACCGCAGGACCGCATTCTCGTCTAGAGATTGAGCGTAATGGGGATGCATCCAAGGGAGACAAGGCCGTTCTGTTTCCGAGTGTGTTGTTGGTTTAGTCCATTCTATGGTATAATCGCATGATTTGACTTCCAGGGGAGGATGCACATAAGAGATATATATATATGGCTAGGAAACGGGATCACTCACAAACTTATTATTATTGCAGCATACGGCGGTACCCTTGCAACCGTTAAGCAGTCCGAGGTTCAAGACGCCCTCCATCGGCTCGCCTAAATTTAGTCAACAAAACAAATACATCCTGCCAGTCAGCTTTTATATCTTTCGCCGTATTGCCAACTTCCCTCCTTTCAATGACTAAAATATAAGGCAAAGAGATAACGTACACTTAGTCCCAACGCTGCCCTTCGACTTCTGCGCTTCCTTATCCAGACCAAAGATCTTCAGTCCCTGGATGACGGACTTGTCTTGGCTGGAGTGGGTGTTTTGGCAACACTGCGGGACGGAGTTACAGTTGCCGCTGCCATCCGCGCGGACGACGAGCGGGGCACCGTCTTCACCCCTGTGGGGTGGGACAGCCACGGCGCTGACGACGGTGCCGATGAAAGCAAAAGCGGAGAGGAAAAGTTGGAGCTGCATTTTGGATGTTATTGTTGTGTAGTGACCTGTTATGCGGGAGATTGTAGAGATTGGAGGGGAGGGATAATGCTGGCGGAAAGAGTGGAAAGGGTATTTGGTGATTTGCTTGTTGTTTTTGGGAGAGGGGGAGAGCGATATGAATGAGAGTCAGGTATTGTGGACTTGATATTGTTAAGGACAGGATGCTTTGCTTTGCTGTGGGCCTGGGGAAGAGAAGAAAAGAGCAGTTGGGAGGTGGACGAAGAGTCTTATATAGATCTTTCCGGTCTTTGTTCACTTATGGATGCTTCTTGTCAACAGCATATGGCCGTGACATGCTTGGATAGGGGGTGTGGAATCTGAGACTCCCTCGCCTCCGTCAAGGGTCCACGAGCTATGCTGCGTGCAACTCTGCCACCATCTCGAGAAGACGAAGAGACGACGTCGTCGCACTCCCCTATTCAAAATCCTCCAGTATAGAGTCAGTCGAAGTGGTGCAAAACGTCAATCGCAATTCGAAAAATAATAAATATCTGATATTTCGCTCACTGGCTGCTCCAGCCACTTCCAGATACGGAATGAGGATCCAGGAACAAAAGCCCAAGTGCACAGGAGTACCACCCCATCTGTGCCGGGTGTGTCCTGTGCACAGGCTAATGTACGTTCCCGTCGAGCTCTTTGAGACAGACGCAAAAAAGAAAAGAGGGAGAAAGAGCATATAGCAATATAAACTGGTTCAGGGCAGCAGCAGGAGCCAATAGTTGCAGTTGATTTGGAACTAGAATCGAACCAGTTTGAGTTACTGTGGCTCTCTGCCTGTGGTATCAATGGAGCCGGCCGTGGTGTACTTGCACAAAGTACCTGCATTTCGTGCCAGCTTGCTTGCTTGTCTGCTTAGGATTTAAAAGAAAATTCAGTGTGGGCAAGGGGAATGATACTTAACCGCCAGGTGTTCGGCGAGCGTTCGGGAGGATTCGTGGGATGGAGGTTGGCAAGAAAAGGCCTGCAGGTGTGGGCAACGACTGTCTGACCACATATCAGAGGAGCTGCATTCATAAGCACAGCGCATGTATTGTCGATGTAACTACTATCCCAGGCTGGAAAGGTTGGTGTCACGGGCAAAATTGGGCTAAGTCAGAATGTATATATATGTGGTTGAAAAAGGGGGGAAATAATGGTTTGGTTGCAAAAGTGTGGAAAGGCGCGCTCAACAGTCGACGGTTGATGATTTGACGATGCACAACCAGCCCCTATTCCTTTTCGAAGGTGTCTTAGGTTCATGTTGGCTGATTGTCTAATAGATATTAATCTTAGGGGCGGCTAGCATTCGTGTCAGTAAACAAAATATCAAAGTTGATAATGATCTCTATATACTTCCGTTTAGGGGCAGTAACGTGACCTGCTAGCTTCTGAGAATCAGTTTCATAACCCTATTCCTACACGGCAATGTCTATAGGTCATATCAATATCTCGCAATATCTAGCAGTAATATGAATTAATACTCTTCAATTATTTATATTCTGCTATATTCATGTTGTTCTCCAACACCACATCTGAGTAGATGCACTAACTATGTTTATGCTTATGTAGCCGGTCGTAGCGAGCGTAGCATGCTTGTACTCGTGAAGAAAAACGTGGGCAAAAAAGATCTCCCCAGCCACCCATACCAAACAAAACCAGAATGATGAAACAGCTTGACGTCCATATGTAGAGAGAGATCAGGCGCTGCGGATTTGTATACATACATATATTGAATTTTCTAGATTTTCTTGAAAAAAAAAGAAAAGGAAAAGGAAAGCATCAAAATAAAGCAAATTTTAAAAAAAAATAGTAATTTACAGCCTGGCCGTCTCCCTCCTCCACCCAACCTCCTCAGCAATAAGCTCCGCCGCCCGCTCCGCAATCGCCAACACCGTCACCATTGGGTTAACGGTAGGCATGGTCGGAAACACGCCCGCATCCGCAATACGCAGTCTTCTCAATCCCTTCACTTTCAGCTGCGAATCAACAACCGCATACGGATCGTTCACCACATCCCCCATTTTCGTCGTGCCTGCCGGGTGGTAGACGGTATGCGCCGCACGCCGTCCATACTCGCTCAATTCCTCGTCGGTCGTGAGGTCAGGGCCCGGCGCGACTTCACGCTTGATCCAGTCCTTGAAGGGAGCTTGCTGCGCGACTTTGCGGGCGGCTTTGAAGCCGGCGACGATCGTGGCGGCGTCGTAGCCTTCTGGGTCGGTGAAGTAGCGGAAGTCGAGGGCTGGTTTCACGGCTGGGTCGGCGGAGGTGAGGTAGAGGCGCCCGCGGGAGCGGGGACGGGGGATGTTGGGAGTCATGCAGAAGGCGTTCATGGGGATGTCGTAGCCGAGCCGGGAGGTGTTGACGCAGAAGGGGATTTGGTAGCAGTGCATCATTACGTCTGCGGCGTCGCCGTCGAAGCCGGCGGCGTTGGGGGCCTCGCGGCGGAGGAAGACGCCGGCATCGGAGTCCATTGTTGTTTGGTTTGGGGGCACGGGTTTGTTGAGTTCCCAGATTATGATGGTTTCCGGGTGGTCGAGGAGGTTCTCACCGACGCCTGGGATATCCTTGACGACAGGAATGGACAGGGAGGAGAGTTGTTCCTGAGGCCCAATGCCGGATAAAAGTAGAAGGCGTGGGGTATCGACTGATCCAGCACAGAGGATGGTCTCCCGCTTGGCATTGACGGTGAGTTTTTCTCCGGATTTGAGAGTCAGATTGACTCCTGTCACGGTATCATCTTTGACATTGACGCGCGAGACCCAAGCGTTCGTTAAGATGGTCAAATTGGGACGCTTTTCGTCTCCGCGGATGACGGGATGGATGTAGGCGACACTCGCACTGCTCCTGCGGCCATCCTCAGGGTTGTATGCAATAGAGAAGAAGCCCACGCACTCTGTCAATTTGCCCTTTTCACGAATTTCCTTGTTGAAGTCTTCGATCACCGGGATATTGAGAGCGGAGGAGCAAGATTCTACCCAATCCTTGCAAAGCCGGTTGCGGTGTCGGAGGTGCACGGGCTGGATGGTGTTCCGCAGGTTGTCCGCAAGGCGGGTGAAGGTTTCAAAGTCCCAGCCTTTGCAGCCCATACTTTCCCAAAGCTTGCAGTCATACTCGAAAATCCGGAACGAGATGAGGGTGTTATGGCTGGAGCAGCCACCAAGGACCTTGGCGCGGGAATGACGGATATAACTATTGCCTACAGATAGCAAAAGGAAGAAGGTGAGAAGGTAATAATGTAGGCAGTGAACGACACTGATAGGGAAAGGAGCTCACGGAGGGAAAACGGTTTCACATAATCGTGATGGCAACCTGAAGGCCCGGGGAGGAAACGCGGGCCAAAATTGCTGGATCGAAAACAGATATAGACATACCCATCGGTTGTTCTACCGTTCCGTAGTCATAGTCGAACTCCTGAGAGCCTAGCAAGCTGAGCCAGTCCTTGAGGATCAGGATTCTGTCGTCCTTGTAGTCGCTGGGCCCCGCTTCGATGACGAGGATCCTCATGCGTGGGAGATATTCTGCCAGCCTGCTAGCGATGACACAGCCAGCTGTTCCTCCACCGACGATAACATAGTCGTAGCTGTCGACATCAGCTGCAGACAGATGATCTGTAGTTGCCATCTTTTCTTTGTTCTATGTTCTTCCAATATATATATATATATAACCCTACTCTACCTTTTGGACTCTTGTTGAACAGGTTTTTCAGGCACGGAGACGACGGAAGCGTTGTTGAACGGTTTCGATGCTCGAGTCCTGGAAACAGGGAGGGAGGGAGAAAAAGCGAATAGAACCAAGGTCAAAGCAGCAAGCAAAAAACGAACAGTGTTTGCAGTGCCTTACTGAGTCGATGTTGACACCGGCAAAGATGCCATCCAAGGTGGGTGATCTGTCAATGACGGAATTCTACCCTGTACATCAATGACAACAACAAGGTGGGTTCAAACGAAGAAATATACGGGCACGCAGTCTATCCTCAAACGGCAGCAAACGCATGTAAATCGAAGTTGCGGCGTTTCCTGTCGCCAACAATTGATTGTAGATGCGGTGGGAAGGCGGACTGCCTCAATGGTCCAGCATCGGTTCTGCCGGGATTCGAGTGCTGGAACCAAGCAAGTTCTCCGCACCCGGACTGATCAGCTTGCGGGTTGCTTTTTTTTTTTCGTGTCTCAACCCTCGCCTCTACGGTTACGGTCTCCCGAATCCAATTCCCCAACCTCTGACTGCATGCTCAGCCAATAATTCGAGCTCCCTTGGTGACTTCGTCGAACCCCGTCTCGGCGCCAACCAGCCCTAAAGCCTAACTGGGAAGGCGGATGGATCCCTTGTCTGCCTTTTGTTGGCTGGACAGTGACTCGGCGCTGCATGATGACATCGACGGCGGCACCAGGAACCAGGCAAGAGGGAACAGTTCAAGTTCTCATCGATGAACAACTCCAGCGATAGCACCCTCGCGTGTCACCGATTTCGAGGAACAAAATAAATGTGGTTTGTCTGTGGGCGGAATCGTCCCTTGCCGCTGCCGGTGAAAAGGTGAGTTGGATCAGGAGCTGATTGATCGAGTCATTGAAAAGTTTTTTCATTTTCATATATCTACATGAATTGATGAGATTCCAATTTTAAGATGACGCCAGGAGCCGAATCCATCTTTTTTGAAAATAAGAAGAGAAGTGTTTTTTTCGAAGTGACCCTCGCTGGACCATCATCATATCCAAAACCAACCGGCGTGGTAGGACTTTCAAAGACCCACCAAAACGAAAAAAAGAAAGAAAAGCAACTTTCTATGTTTCTTCAAATATTAAAGAGACCAAAGACTTTTCGGCTGGTTACTGTATGACGATCAAATATTCCTGTTATTCCTGGCCTCTATTCCCAAAGCGCCTCTGTTAAGAACATATATTTCTTTTCTATATATAAAACAACACAAGAAGACACTGCTCTAGTCATTTCAATGAACACAAAAAACAAAAAGGTGCATTCAATACAACCAATCCGAAGCAGAAAATCATCTCAGAAGCTAAAAATGAAGACAAATGTCATATCATGTTAAGGCCACCTTTTGTTATTTCTATTTTCTTTTCTTTCTTTCTTTTTTTTTTTTTAAAAAAAAAACGCTGACTTGTTTTGCCCACTTGAATTCCAGCCCCAAGGCTTTCTTGCTTATCTTTCAGTCGCCACGTGCCAATGTTCGTGGACAGTAATGCCGCCCACCTCATTGCTCTCTAAATCGCTACTGTCATGTCCGCTGGACGCAGGAGTCTTCGAGGAACTAACCGCAGCGAAATGTTTGCCCGCAACCGGCCTCAGCTGATACTGCGAGCTGTTATCATTCAGTTGTTCGAAGCCGCCGCCACCACCGGGCCCGCTATTTTTCGACGCGCCCGTGGAATTAGCAGGGTAGCTTGTGTTGCTGCCGGAACCATACTTGGGGCGCCGTAACAGAGGCCGTAAGAGCGGGATGCAGGATAGGGTGACAGCTACGCTGGGTTCGAGGCCGGAGAAGATGTTTGCTGGGGGAATGGAGTAGGTAATATCTGCGAAGTCCATGGAGGAGAGTGTGTGGATGCGGACAGCACTGACGACGCAGGTTCTGTGGGGTTGAACAGATGGTAAGTAACGTTTTGCTGCAAAATAATCCCGTTCCATTCGAACTGGGTGGCTCTAAAGGAGGAGGAGGGGGGGGGGGGGGGGGAAGCATACAGAAGACCAATGCTGAACACGCCAATCAGGACCAGCTTTTTATACAGCTGCATCTGCAGCTTAGCCAGGTATGGTAAGGGGAGGCACAACACCAAGATGTCGGTGACAAGGTTAAAGACACCGGTAATGGTGAAGGAGAGGACCTGGTCACCACATTTTCCACCGGGGATTGTCTGGTCCCAGTTAAAGGCGAAGGGACGGCAAATGACACAGCCTGCGACAATGGTCGCGATTGCCCATGCAGCGATGAACACCATGGCGCCTCTGCCTACCCAGATAACGGTCGCTACAGGGAATACCTTGGCGTAAAGCATGAGGATGGACACTTTGCAGAAACTTAGACTGAGAACCCAGAGGAATTGGAGCGGGATGAGTAGCTGGATGCAGATGTGTTAGTCATATGGAGCTTAAAGTCCTTATCCATATTAAATGAATGGTGTTCAACGGAATTATAAGCTTTCTTCAAGAATTGCTTACCTTTAGAAGCTTTGTGATGGGTTCGAGTCCGTATTCCTGGATCACTTGTACTGTGTGTCCATATCCGATGCCACACTGGATGACGCCTACAGCTCGTGCACGTCAGAAAGTGGCTCCTACAGCTGCCGTGCCATACATTGAGGCATGGATGTTGGGTGCTGTAAGGGTGGTGGTTTTTTGCCCACTACCTACCAGTGATACTGACGGACTCCAAAGCTACCGCAAATATCTGCCATTCGGTTAGTGGGAGATGGCAAGGATATAACCAATGAGACGAATCGGACCACAAACTCACACATGCGACGATAATACAATAGTCACTTGCATCCAACGATCTGTCCGCAAGGTGTCGAGCAAGCATACGCAACATAACTGCCAGTGCCGGAATGATGGCGAAGGCAATTGCAACTCCCAGAACTGACCTCTGATCAGCCGTTACGATAGGGAAAGGTGGTGCTTTGGACGGCGGTGGAAGGCCCTCCATGTTGACAAATGCGTTGCAAACGCTTCAATTTGTTTCAACAGACGCTTTCTTGATAGTGAGGTTTGGAAGCCACATCTAGAATGGCGTGGGAATAAAAAGGAAGGGAAACACGACTGCCCGCGGTCGTTGAGCACGAATCCGCTTTTTCTAGGACAGTTCCCTATATATAGGCAGCTGCAAAACCTTCATCAGGGCTGTCCTCTGAGCAAAACGAGGGATGATAGGGGGAACACTGCATAGACAGGAACAACAGAAAAGCCTTCCCGTCTCGATACTGCAGGTGGCGCGACCAAAGTGGATAGCAGCAGAGGCTTTTGGCTACTGTGGCAGAGTCAACCCGCGCAGGGATTGACTGTCGATCAAAACGGGAATTTGGATAGCCATAAGGCAATCCATCACATTTTGAATTTTTGATCGCGGTCTGGTCCTTTTTATGGTGTTTGGAATATTGCCATCATTCCTGAAGACTTTGGCCGGCGAGCGGGATGTGAATGGAATCCCGGACCAGAACTCCACTGCTTGGCCTCTTTAGCGCATTGACGGCCTGACCCTGTCAGCATTGACCTAAGTGATCTCGATTGTGTATACAAAACCCCACTAACGGGATGCACTCTGCTTCGAAAAAGCTGCTTGTCAGGCGGATATTCCAAGCATTGTCATAACCTCTTCCCTCAGTATAACGGGAACCCATATAAACGGATCATGAAAAACACCGACTGTGTTATCAATGTATTTTAGCTCCAGATTGAAGGACAGTATTCGTGGAAGGATATATACGGGATCACGGTACTGAGGAATCATCCCCAACTCCCCAAGCGGATGCATTGAAAATTTACAGGTCTAAAATTTTGGACCCTTGGCGACCGTTTATGGACCCACATTAAGTCGTCTCCCGTTCGTCTGACAGGTGAATCTAGCAAAAACACACCTCGCTTCCGAGAACATAGTTGGCGAAATAGGTGCGATATACAATGGGATGGCTAGGCCATGGCGCCCCTTTTGAAGCAGTCGGTCTTTTTGTGTTTAGTCCCTTCATGAGCTCAGGTGCCCTAGCTCTCTTCGCGGCCCACCAGGAAGAGATACGATTCTGCACCCATCCCTTAGCATGCCGGCTTCGCTAGTGGGCTCCAGCAGTTTGATGTTTCAGCTTCCAGGTTGATCCAACCCACCAAGCCGCTAAGAAAACGGCCGAGTCTGGAAACTCCCCCGAGCGGTACGTTAGACTGCTGGCATTTGTGCTTCCCAGCTGAACGAGCACGATGATTTGAAAGGCTTCAATTCAAGTTTTATGTGTTTTTGGTTATCCCTCGCATATCGGCGAGAGGATTGATTCCTTCAGCCAGTCAGTGTTAAACCGATTGGGCTGACGTCTGACTAAAAGTAGAAGTGCCAATGATTGCTGTCACCGATGCGGAGCAGGACGAACGCTTTTCGTTGGGTCCCGTCGCATCCACAATGGCGGATCCACTGCTCCACACTCCCGGGACGAAGTCCGACGATAGCGCGGGATTCGACGTCTGGCCAATTAATGCATGCCATTTCTTTGCGTCCCAAAAATTTTGATCTATCAAACGGCTGGGAACGAGCTTTAGCACGAGAAAAGGGCATATTTAAGCGCACAGCTCAGGTTCGGGACGAAGGGTGTATTTCCAATTGGCCTGTAGCGTGGGGCAGCCACCAAAACTCTCCTATCAGCGGTTGGGGGTTTCGAATGACCCGTCTCATGGGCCATGTGGCTTGCCGCCAATACCATTGTACAAAATATTCACGGGAGAGCCTGTTTGACAGACTAAAAAAGGGAACAAGATCAATCACCTTTGACGGGATGCTTGCCCCTCAAGAGAAGCCTCGCTTGGGGAGGGAAGCCGGCCACGGCTCAAGGGGCACTAATGCGGCCGCCACCTGGACGGCGCAAAACTGTTCTCTGAAGAATGCGAACTAATTTTGCACGAGGAGATTTATCACAATTCCCAGGATGGAGTTGCCATGAACCCCATATGGGACTTAACAACAATCTTCAACGGCGAGTCGCGAAGTTTCTGTGGGTAAATGACAGCGATTCTTGATGCTGTCATTCCCTGAGTTTTTCAAGCCCATAAATTTGAAACAGACCCTAGTGCAATATCTGGAAGTTATGGCAGGGTTGAAGGAGTTCGCGGGCTTGGGTGGGCCGCAGCTTGCTGGCCTGTTTGCTGTTGCTGTTCTGACGCTCTGTATCTGGCGTCGTTACCTTTCCCCGATCAGTGACATTCCGGGACCGTTTGCGGCCAGCTTCACTCGGCTATGGCATATCCATCGTATCCTCAAGGGGGACCAAAATCTGGAACTCATTCGGTTACACAATCAACATGGTATGTATACTTGATCTTTAACTTTTCTGGTAACTGTCCTTATACAACATTGTGTTGTTAATCGAAGCGGCACCAAAATAGGACATTTTGTTCGTGTGGCGCCCAATGAGGTCAGCGTCAGCCATCCCGATGCCGTCAGAAAGATCTTGGGAACGATGCTTCATAAGGACAAATGGTACAAGATCATAGCCTTCCCAGATGGCCGTTTCGAGAACCCTATGTCCGCTACGGACCCCAAAGTGAAATTGGAGTTGTCCAAGCATCTTGCGCCTGCCTACACCCTCTCCAACCTACTCATAAACGAGCCCAGCGTCGGCGAAACCATCAAGCTCCTGCTGGGATGGCTGGACAAGTTTGCTTCCTCCGGCGAGCCAATCGATCTGGGTAAATATTTTACCTTCGCAACCTCAGACATCGTAGGCGACGCTGTATTCTCTAAACAATTTGGTTTCTTACGCGAGGGTCGCGATATCAACAACACTATTGCCAACGCTACGCCGCAGACGGCCTACGTCTCTGTTGCCGGCTACTTCCGCTGGTTCCATGTTCTCTTCCTCAGCAACCCAATCATCACCTGGCTGAATATCACGCCATGGGGCCACCTTATTGACACAGCCATGACGGCTATCAAGGAGCGCCAGAAGAACCCTGATGCGCGAATAGATGCTGTCGCCCACTGGTTCCGTATGCTCAATCAGCACCCCGACCGCATGAAGCTGCATGAGATCCATAGCGCCGCATTTAACGCTGTCGCGGCTGGCAATGAAACCGTCTCCTCCGGGCTGCAGGCATTCGTGTACTATATGATCCGCCATCCAAATGCCTGGGACCGCGCGAGGGCGGAGATCGACGCCGCCGGCCTTAAGGACCCTGTCATCAGCTACATGGATGCGCAGAAGTTGCCTTTTTTGCAAGCGTGTATTAAAGAGACGCTTCGCATATTCGGACCTGCGCCAATGGGCCTACCGCGCATTGCACCCGAGGGCGGCTTGACAATTGGTGATCGAACTATCCCCCAGGGAACCGTTGTCTCTGTCAGCATCTGGGTTATGCATTATTCGAAGGAGATTTGGGGGCCGGATGCTGGTGAATTCAACCCCGATAGGTGGCTGGGTGAGGATGCGGCGCGTCTTACGAAATATTATATTCCCGTAAGTAACTCAGTATCCCCCATCCGGCATCCATGACAAAATCTCCCCAACTAACATACATCGCTTACCCAAAACAGTGGGGGATGGGTTATGCCTCTTGTCCCGGGCAGCACCTGGCGCGAATCGAGTTGTACAAAATTTGCGCAGCGCTCGTGCGAGACTATAACATCCGACAAGTTGACCCAAAGCAAGAATGGACGTGGAAGGCTTACTTTACTGTGGTTCCGCATAACTGGCCATGTATTGTCGAGAAGCGGAATAAGGAGACCACTCCCTAGGCACCGTGCTATGTCTGCAAGGATGCCATCATGCTAATACCCACCACACCTCCTTGAATTTATTATAAACGTTAATGCTTTTTCTACCTCTGTTATGACATTCCTCTGCTCTCATTTGCTTCTCTTTCTCGCAGACACGGCCTTTGCAACCTATATTATAATATTGTTCAATTTTCTCCAATGCACGAATTGGTCAGTATATAACACCACATATTTAGGTCCCAAATTGAATCATTCTTTGAACAATAACTTTATTATTATTTTGTTATTGTTATTATTTCCTCCGAAACCTTACCTAAGAAGAAGGATGTGGGAAACTGTTCATCCGCTAGCAAGAGAAAACATGTAATGAGCTAGCCCACTACCGGATTAAAAGCCCCTTGTGCACTACAGAACTACCCTACAACAATGAGACACTGCAGATTGTCACGGAGCAGCTGTTAATGTACACAGCGATAAGGAATTGAGAAGACAGAAAGACCGAAAATAAAAGAAATAGATTTCATGCTCACCTACAGTAAAACACATCTGCAGCATGTAGTGACTAGATATATATAGATCACAGAGAGAATAGAGAGCGGGATGCATCCTTAAGCGGCAGAGACTCTTCGACAAGCATGCAACGCACACAAATACAGATAAGAAATACGAGTACTTAGACGATATAAAAAGAAAGTAGAAAGGAGTACTAAGATTCGATGATGGAGATAATTTCTTAACATCCTTTCACTGAACACTCTTGAATCATTAGTGAGATAAGAAATATACTAGTTTGCATCTCGGGTTATGCCTCTGAGAGCTTATGATTCGAGAAATGCCCGAGCGCTTAATGGGTGGTTTCAGTGCAACAGATTCAGATCTCGCCGAGCAGCAAAAGGAGTAGTTCCATCGAGACGAAACCGCAGGTGTTAAATCGAGCCTCATTTCACTCAGGATATAAAGTGATGAGCGAAGAAATTGGCCTCTTCTCAATATACTTGATAGTCCTTTGTTCGTTATTATATTTTATTATTTTATTATTTTATTATTTTATTTATTTATTTATTTTTCCCCAAACACTGTCCTGTCACACAGACGGCATCCGATTCCCCTTTTCGGCATCATGTTTGTGCTCCCAAAGCACAATCGTCTACGTCATTTCACGTGACTATCAAGACGTACCGCCATATGATTTTCCTCAAAGCCTTCAATTTCGGTGCCCATTGTATGGTTGCTGTAACGAGCGGAAGAAATCGCAAAACAACTTGAAGTTCTTCCCATTAAGCTAACATACTTTTAGAATCTCAGAGCGACCTGTGTTAGGAGTCCCTTCTGAAAAGATGTCCTCCTCTCACTACACTTCACAACGTCTATACTTCGACGGACAAGTCCAGCAGTCAAGCTCTGGCAAGCATTTCCAGTCCATTGACCCCTCCAACGCCTCAGTCCTCGCAGATGTGGAAGTTTCGTCAAATAGAGACATCGATGCGGCCATCGATTCAGCCAGGAGGGCTTTCCCTGCCTGGTCCCAGACTCCGCCTGCTGTAAGAACCAGGGTGCTCCTGCGTGCAGCCCAAATACTCCGCGCTCGAAATGATGAGATCGCCAAGATCGAAACACAAGATACGGGCAAGCCGTTCTCGGAGACAAGCACGGTAGACGTCGTTACTGGAGCGGATGTGCTTGAATATTTTGCAAACCTGGTTGGCGGAGGAGGGTTGAACGGTGAAACTACCCAGCTACGGGACGATGCCTGGGTATATACGAAGAAAGAAGCCTTGGGTGTCTGTGCTGGAATTGGCGCGTGGAATTATCCTATTCAAATGTAAGGAGAAGACTAAGCAGACAACAACCCGTTTGAAAACAATTCAAAATATTCTAATTTAGCCTTTCTTTTCCTTTCTTTCTGCTGTTGTTCTCTAGCGCTTTATGGAAATCCGGTCCCTGTCTCGCTGCTGGGAACACCATGGTCTATAAACCCAGCGAATACACTCCTCTTCATGGCCTTATTCTCGCACAAATATACGCAGAAGCGGGCCTACCCCCTGGCGTCTTCAATGTCGTCTACGGCGCTGGGGATGTGGGTGCATACCTCACCGCTCACCCCACCATCGCCAAAGTCTCCTTCACGGGCCAAGTGTCGACAGGGAAGAAGGTCGCCGGCTCCGCTGCCGGTGCCATGAAATATGTAACGATGGAACTGGGCGGGAAAAGCCCGCTAATAATCCTTCCAGACGCGGACATTGAGAACGCCGTTGACGGCTCTATGATGGCAAACTTCTTCAGTACGGGCCAGGTATGCACGAACGGCACCCGCGTCTTCGTTCCCAGAAGCCTCAAATCGGCCTTCGAAACCAGCTTGCTGGATAAGATGAAGTATGTCCGTGCGGGAGACCCCATGGACCCCAGCACCAACTTCGGTCCCCTCGTATCGGCCGTTCATTTCGAGAAAGTCACCAGCTACATCCGCCATGGCATCGAGCAGGATAGAGCCAAGCTCCTCTACGGAGGTCTGGAGCAGCCGCGTGTTCCCGAACATCTGCGGAAGGGCTACTGGGTTGCGCCGACGGTTTTCACAGACTGTACGGACGACATGAAGATTGTCCAGGAGGAGATCTTCGGTCCTGTCATGTCTATCCTTACGTACGACACGGTCGAGGAGGCTGTGAGGAGGGCCAACGAAACGCCAATGGGCCTGGCGGCGGGTGTCTTTACGCCGAATCTCAATATGGCGCATAAAGTTATTGCGCAGCTGGAGGCGGGGATTACGTGGATCAATTCGTGGGGAGAAAGCCCGGCGGAGATGAGTGTTGGAGGCTGGAAGCAAAGCGGTGTCGGAGTTGAAAATGGGCGGAGAGGGATTGAGGCATGGGTGAGAAATAAGAGCACACTGGTTGACATGAGTGGTGGGATTACGACCGCATTTACGAAATTATAAGATAGGAAGGAGTATAGTGGCAGTTCCGACTGAGACCCAAGGTTGACTGCAGGTGTAAATTTGTATGTATAAAACTGAAAGACCTTCATTAACACCCTCCCTTTTTGTTTGTGAACAGGAGGGACACTTGAATCTCCGCCCAATAACTACTACAGTCTGACATTGTATACTCAAGCTAGTAGCATTATCTATACATGAACCAATATTTTCGATTTGTAAAACGTACAAGACTCAGTGCAAGCAAAATAGTCATACATGCGATAAATGCACATAGAATGGAGAAACATGTTGAGTAGCCAAAGAGTGGACCCCTGGCAGCGAAGGAACTTTGACCAAATCGGAACTCACTCCACAGGTCAAGAAAGAAATCGGGGTATATAGAAACAAAGAAGGAAAATTCGGGAAAATGGCTCTTTAGTAGTTTAAACAAAAACAAAAACAAAAATAAAAAAAATGAAATAAATAATAATGCAGGAGGAAATGCGAAGAGAAAAACGGTAGGGGTAACCTTGAACTTGGAAGAAGTTTTGGCCCGGAAACAAAATGCAAAATTGAAGTTATTTTTTTTTTTTTTCAAAATTCAGAAAAAATAAGATACGGCGTATGCGGAATCCAAGCATGGCATCAAATCAGGACGAACGGGTTCAAGTTTTTCCACGAATGCGACGCTAAAAGGATGGCGTTCCCACATCCTGCTTTTCTCATAAATATGGTCTCTCACCGCCGTGGCTTCATACTTCATCAATCCTTGACCCCATCCTATCAAAAACCAAATCGCCCGCGATCGTCGCATCTAGTCCCGCAATTGAAGAATCTTTAAGGCGTGATGACATGCTATCTGGGGTCAACTCGTCCAGCTCTTCTTCCCCGCCACCATTTGCAGTTCGTGGGTGGAAACCGGATGTATCGATCGTGAGCTTGCTATCCTTGACGGGGGTTGAGGCATCGTTCGCGCCCGGGGAGTGAGGTGGAGTCATAACTGGAGGTCTATATTGCTTTGTGCGATGGACCAAGGGCGGTCCCTGGGTCCGCGCATCGGTGCCGGCTTGCTCAATGCTGACGAAGTACTGAAATCGGGGATATTATTGATTTAGTGAAAGTGGTACTTGCCAACAACCAGAAAGGGAGTGCATTTGACTTGTCTGGAGTGAATGCATATTTTGCTCCTATGGAACATACCTTGACAGTCTTCACCTTCAACTCCAACGTCGCGTCCTCATCCACAACAATCAGCGGATGGGGATGTAGTTGGAGCGCTGAAAGCGTCCACATGTGATTGACGCCGCTCTCTATACCCTTCTGCAGCGCTGTAGCCTTATGCGCGCCCGTCACGACAATCACCACCTCGCGTGAGTCCAAGATCGTTTGGATCCCCACCGTCATCGCCTGGCGGGGTACTTGCGAGATGTCATTATTGAAAAAGCGCGAGTTGGCTAAGAGGGTGTCGTAGGCGAGTGTCTTGACACGCGTGCGCGAGCGGAGGCTGCTACCTGGCTCGTTGAAGGCGATGTGCCCGTCTGCGCCGACGCCGCCGAGGAATAGATCTATGCCACCCACTTGCAGGATTTTGGCCTCGTAGTCGGCACATTCTTTGACCGGGTCGGGAGCGTTGCCGTTTAGGATATTTATGTTTTTGGGGGGGATATCGACATGCGAGAAGAGGTGTTTGTACATGAAGCTGTGGTAGCTTTCTGGGTGATCGCGGGGAAGCCCCACATACTCGTCCTATGGGGGAAGAGAAAATGTTAACCACCACTTTTGTCGTCTTCTTCACGGCCTCTTCCTTGATCTCTGGGAGTTTTAGGAATGCCGCTCCTGCCCCGGGTCCTTTGAGATCCACCAAGGCGAAAGTGGGGAATGAGGTTTAATCTACCATGTTGAAAGTGATGACATGTTTGAAGGAAATCTCGCCAGCTTTATACCGCTGGACGAGGATGCGGTAGACGGTCTGTGGACTGCTTCCAGTGGGTAAACCAAGGACAAAGGGCCTATCTTCTGACGGAGCAAATTGTTTGATACGGCCTACGTAGAGACAGCGCATGCATCAGTTAACAAGGACCTATGGGAAAGGAATGGGAGGCAACTGCGACAGGAAAGAAGGATGGAACATGATATATTCTTCTGGGGGGTTTCTCAAAACAAAAATTTCTGTACAAGAATCCGGGTGAGGATGACAGATGGACGTATCACAGTAATGGGTGGGGATAGCCAAGGTAAAGAATGAGGGCTTATGGTATGCAGCATAGGACATACTGATGATGTAGTCCGCAACATATTCGGAGACTCTCTGCGGATCTTTCCTAATTATCACTCTCCTGTGCACTGGTATGTTAGTCCAGACGTTCCAAGATATCTATACCGGCAAAGGGCAGAGAACTGTGTGTTCTCTTACATTATGCCTGATGAGAAGCTAAGGGGCTGGGGAGACGGTGTATGTAGGTTGAATATATGTAGGTTGGATATATGTCAAAAATGGAAATGAGCTTGGAGGTATGAAGATTTGAGTTTCAAAAAATCGTCATCGACTCGGGTTTCATGAATAGAAGAGAAGCAACCGGTCGTAGAAAGTTGTCGTGGAATATTTAGTATCAACCAGCGGGGCGAGACCAGATTCACTGGTTTAATAGGTTGAAAAAACTCTTTTTGCCGCCTATCAAACTGGTCAAGGTCACAGCCCTATTTGGCAGAAGCCAAGTTGGCGACATCATCACCGGTAACTTTGAAGACCTTGACCCGCAAGATGCAGAGTGGCTCCCAAACAGGAAAACTCCATCACTACTGAGGAGTGATGGCTCGAAGGCTGTCTCGCCCGCCGAAAACTGCGGGCACGTATGTTGTAGCAGAGGAGTAGCATTAGTAGGTGACATAGCAGAGCCCTTCAGTCCATCGCTTACGGATGGATGGCCAGTCCTTACAGAGATGAGGTCCCCCGTCCCCATGCAAAGAGCCCACTTTGAGATCGAGTAATAATCATGGATCCCCCTCCACCATAACGAAGGCGATTCACTGTGTGCAATGGAACTGAGCTCACTATCATTTGCCATCATCTGATTTCGCATCCGTTGCACACATATCAAAAGCCGCATCGCCCAACTAAGTCTCGGCGACGTCCCTGGGCTCCCATTGGCAGAATGTAGATACAAAGACATGGCCTGCGGGCGCCCTCCTGCCCCAAGCTGGCCCCGGTTGGGCCCCGGTTCGCCCCAGATGGCACAATGTAACGGTCACAGTTGCTTATGGAATAAGGTTATCCAACCTTGGCCTTGGCCTGCGTTTTGTGTTGATGCTTTCAAGGTTTTGGCTTCCCTTTTCGATATTTTCTTTGCTTCCTTGTTTCGCTTGAATTTCCTTTCTTTCTTTATTATTATTATTATTATTTTATTTGTTGCATGATTGGCTCACCGTCTCCGCCAAAGATTCCCCTGTCGTTTTCGAGAATACGTGGGGGATCTGTTCCAAGTTTAAATCTGTACATAGTAAATAAAGCTTTCGGCAGCGCGCTTAGTCCTTTCTTCCAGCAGGAGATTGGAATGCTGCTCACTCCTTTCGGCGTAATTTCATATCTTCTTCTCGTTGCCATTTTGCAGATGCGAGCTGAGGCTCTGGAATCCTTTGTAGCCGGTTGCTTGCATCAAGGGCTAGCAACAAGCCTGCATAAACGCTGGGCCGCGCAATACCTGGTTTCCACCAACCCTTGACCTGTAGGCTGTAGACACATGCTGCGTAAAGAAGCTTCTTTATATTAACTAGCTCTCAAGACTCAAGCTGTATTCTGGCTTCCAGGGTAGCGAAATTGGAGCTCCCCGCCGGTTCCTTGTTGGAGCTGTCCAAGATCCATCTGCGCGCGTTTTGGTTGTCGAACTCTGGGCGCGGCTAGTCCGCCCGGTCCGTTTGGTGACCACCGAATCAACCATCTCCTCCGCAGCCGAACCGACAGCTCCATGACCTCGAAGCGCTAAATAATCCATTTGCGATCAGCATCGCGAGCTCTGGTTGACTAATCGAGAGAACGAGAACGAGACCCCATCCTGGCTGCGGCTCTTCCAGACTTGCTCAAGCCGAATCGGTTGAGACAACGAAAAGGTCTCTCTGTTTTGGGCCGTGGGCGCCACCGCACATCAACTGCAACTTCAACCGCCCGCACTGCGACTCAGCGCGTCGATGACTGTGACTGTGACAGCAGTCCCTCGATCACCTCCGATCCACCCCGCTGCTTCTCAACCAACCCCACCGAGCTGCCCTCTGCTGTGGTGATAGCTGACCCCGTCTCCGGTCCAGCCTCTGCCCGCGCTATTCGTGCTAATCCGACGTTGCGACTGCTTGCGATTTCTCGGCAAATATTCGACCTGCCTTCAACCTTTGACGAGCCCGTAACTTCCTCCTGGGCAATCGTCCGTTCTTGTTCCGCTAGAATTTTGCGAGGGGGAGGAAGGGTGGTAGCAGATCCCGTGGGCTCTGTGGGTTGCCGATGGATCCTGGGGGCGCCATGAATACCGAGCTCTCCCCTGACTGGGAGAGCTTCGACAGGTAGGCAGCGTGTTTTGTCTCTGGTTGCCCCCACTTGCACAAGAGCTCTCCACTCCTCTGTATGCAAAAAGATTGATTGATTTGTTGTTTGACGTCTCTAGATGCATACATGATGGAGGTGAGCCAGCTATGCCCGCACTCTCCTTCTCCTCATATATGTAACCCTTGCAATTCAACGGGAAGATGCTCTGCTAGGGTAAAACCTTACTCTAAGTCGGTCGTGTGGCCCGTTATTGCTACTCCTCTGACGTCCTATGCTTCTTCCTCGAGTATCCTCTCCATCTAATCTTAACTCTCCGTTGCTGTGCATCACAGCTTGAAATGAAGACAACGTGCTTGGGCTAACGGGATACCTTGCTACAATGCGCGAGTTCGACTATAGGCAGATGGGCCAGCTCTTTGTCATGGGCTTCGATGGAACTAGCGTTAATTCGGAAATCCGCTCCCTGATAGAGGACTATCATCTGGGTTCTGTCATACTCACCGCTAAGAACTTGAAATGTGCATATCCCTTCCCTTCCCTTCCCCCTTTCTTCATATTCAACCACAATCTCTAGTCATTCATTACCATGCACTTGGCTCCTTCCCACTTCTGAGTTTTTGTGTTGAGGAGAGATTGGTCTTGGTTGTCTTAACCACTTGGAGTTGGATACCTTGAAAAACTTCATATAATTATATATATGTATATATATATATATATATATATTAAAATGACATCGGCTGATATCTCAATATAGCGGCGGAAGAAACCACTAAACTTGTCTATGAACTACAAACCATCGCCCGGGATGCTGGCCATCCGGTCCCGTTACTGATTTGCCTCGATCAGGAAAATGGCGGCGTTAACACTTTATTCGACGAGATTTACATACGGCAGTTCCCCAGCGCCATGGGGATGGCTGCGACAGGCTCGAAATCCCTAGCAAGAGAAGTTTGCAAGGCCACTGCCCAAGAACTCAGCGCCGTTGGTATCAACTGGATCCTTGGTCCCGTACTTGATGCATTGACGAATGCCAGAAACCAGCCCCTAGGCGTTCGAAGCGTAGGAGATGACCCGCAAGAGGTGTCCGCGTACGGAATTGAGTTCATGAAAGGCTATCAAGAGGCAGGCTTGGTGACTTGCGGGAAGCATTTCCCCTCATATGGTAATCTCGATTATATGGGTTCCCAGTCTGATGTTCCCATCATCACGGAAACTATTGAGCAGCTAAGTGTGAGCGCATTGGTTCCTTATCGGAATGCGATAACGCATGGCATAGATTCAATGATGGTAGGAGGATGTTCCATGGCATCAGCTGGAATGACTGTCATGCATGCTTGTTTGTCAGAACAGGTTGTTGACGAACTCCTGCGGAAGGACCTAAAATTCGACGGTGTGGTCGTTTCGGAATGCCTTGAGATGGAAGCACTCAGCTACAATATAGGCGTTGGCGGTGGAACGGTTATGGCCATGAAGGCCGGTTGCGACCTGATCCTGTTGTGTCGATCCTTCTCTGTACAACAGGAGGCTATCAATGGATTGAAGCTAGGAGTAGAAAATGGCATCATTAGCAAAAGCCGCATACGTGAGTCACTACGAAGAGTTCTGGACATGAAGTCGCGATGCACATCGTGGGAAAAAGCTTTGAATCCACCAGGAATCAGCCTTTTATCGAAAATGCAGCCGTCCCACACTAGCCTATCTACTAGAGCGTATAGCAGCTCGCTCACCGTTGTTAGAGACAAGCACAATAACATCCCGTTATCTAGCGTTCTCGAACCGGATGAGGAACTTCTACTCCTCACACCATTGATAAAGCCGTTACCAGCATCTGCAATGCTACTGTCGATGACCACCGAAGTAAGTCGGGCAGGCCTATCAGCGGATGCCGCTTCATGGGAGCGTAGTGCTTCTGTCATGAGCGGCGAAAGTGTTTTCAAAGAGTTTGGGCGATCGTTAGCTCGGCAGAGGAACGGGCGTGTTTTACACACCTCCTACACTGCCAACGGCGTCCGACCAGTCCATGAAAATTTAATCGATCGCGCAAGCGCTGTCATAGTTGTAACGGCCGACGCCAACAGAAACTTGTACCAAAATGGATTCACGAAACACGTATCACTAATGTGCAATTCTCAATTTTCTCCCAACGGCGAGCGCCGCGCGAAACCCGTAATCGTTGTAGCTGTCAGCTCGCCTTACGATTTCGCCACAGATCCATCAATCGGGACGTATATTTGCACCTACGACTTTACCGAAACAGCCTTGCAATCGTTGGTAAAAATTCTTTACGGAGAGCTAACGCCTTCGGGCTCACTACCTGGCTCACTTAGTCGCAACCAGAGACTCCAACAGTCAAGGCAACATTGGCTAGTGGAGAACTGGAATGAGGATCGGGATGCACATGCCTTAGATACCCTCCTAGATATTGTCCGAGAAGATGGTACCCAGTGCCAAAGATCCGAACTTGCTAGCGTTACCTCCACCACCTTCCTTCTCCGCAACAGCGACGTGGAAGAGTCCCACTTTGTTGTTCGAAATAGCAGCACACAGGCGCTCTATGGATTTTGCTCTACGTATTACTTCAAATCCACAGGGACGGGCGTGATCGGTGCACTCATTGTCGACCCTTCCCGCCGACGAATGTCCATCGGCCATTCCCTCCATAACCGCGCAATTCGGACACTGATTCAACGGCCAGGCATCCGTAGCTTCCAGCTCGGCTCACGTTTACCAGGCATATACCACGGAATCCCTACAGGAAATCCCACCGAGCGCAAAAGGCTTCGGCAGTGGTTTGCCAATCTGGGATGGAACACAGCCCTGTCACGTTCTGTATGCAGCATGGTGTTACGAAATCTCGAAGACTGGTCACCACCGGAAGGATTGACGAAAGTTCTACAGAGCTCGGAAGTCGACTACGATCTCGTTTATGGGTGGGAGTTTGCGGATTCTGTCCTTGATCATGTGAAAACAACTTCGCGTGTTGGGGTCATGGAGATCTACAAAAGGGGGCTTGGCGGTGCTCCGGGTAGTGGGATTATTCGCGCTAAACGCCGGGAAGATGGGACGATACTGGGTAGTGTCGTTGTGTATAATTCCACGTCCGCGCTTGCGGAATCCATGCCGGCGCTTAAGGATACTCGCACAATTGCGGGAGGGATTTCTTGTCCTGTGATCTCTCCTTCTGTAGGGGAGTATGCAACACTGGTACAGGGATTGATCTTGTTGGGAATCAAGCAGATTCGCAAGCAAGGGGCTAGGGCGGCTATACTGGATTGCGTAAGTAGAAATGATCACCCTTCTTACCGTTTCACGCCGTTGTTTTTTCTTCTGTCATCAACTACGACCATCCCATTCAATACAGAACTCGTTTGGAATGCCTCCCCCAAGATTATTAGCTAACCTAAAGGCATCTTTCGGCAAAAACAGGTCGACGCTGATGGGAACTACGATAGTCTCTCTGCCATGGGATTTTCCGTCCTGCATAGTTTCGAGGAAGTCACCTGTGATGCTTCCACTTGGAGTATGATGGCTGCCTCATGAGAAAGCTCGGCATGGCCGGCTATTTCATTTCGCAACTCCAGCTAGATCGATCCTCTTCCCTCGATGCACCTTTTACTATCTACGAAATATCTTTGCTCTGGTATATGTATCACCAAGTTATAGAAACTTTCAGCCCCTCGGATACGAATATCGGTCGTCCTAACCGCTGTTAGATTGTAGATTCAATTCAACCTTCGACTCTACGCCTTTTTTCCTGTTTTTCCTTTCATTTTCATTCCTATTCCCTTCAAACTGCTGAAAATTTTGCATTGAGCAAAATATTTTCTCAGGTGTGTCCTTATTATTTAAATTATCATGCATCATACCTATTCGCCACCAACCATTCCTCATTCAATAAAACATTGCAGAGCAGATCTATCCTATCTTTTTGTAGCGCATTTTCGGCCGGTGAGATGAGAGGCTTTTTACTCAATAAAAAATAGTATTTTTTCTCATCCACATCCTCAACTACCCCATCACCACAACCACCCCGAGAGCCGTTCTTCCCAACTGCGACCCTTAATTAACGCTATAACGCCCGTTACATGCCTACCATGTGTTGCTTATTCACCAGTTATTGCTTTATTTATCGTGGCTTGTGTTGGTTTGGGGTCCAGCGTTCCTGGATGAAAAGATATAACCTCTATCCCTCTCGTTCGGGTACCATAACCTACCTACCTCATCACCAGTGCCTCGTTGTTCGTGGTCACATCCAGCCCCCTTTTTTTTGTTTTGTTTTCACATTTAGTTTTAGTGGTTCTATTCTGTTGTTATGCTCGCGGGACTTGCCTTTCTCCTTAGATTAATTCTGAGACTTTGTTTTTGGTGGAGGGAACTCTATACCCTGTTGACATTGGCCCTACAAGGATCGTTATTACCATTTTAGGTATACGAGTATATGAAGGAAGGCAGCCATGAATGCGAGGTTTTTAATGATATATCCTTCGGCTGCTATGGATAATAAATATCTTTAGATGCGTTGATTCAGACAAACCGCAATCGCTCGCTTGCGCTCGCTTATCCAGCTTGAAAACACACTGTTTAATCCCTCAAATGAACATAATGAGATATATAAGCAGCTGTATATGACTTGTATAGATGAATTTCATATAATTTATAACTATTAATAAAGAATAATTATATAGATGAAAAAGATGTATAATATTGTAGTAATATTATAGAGTTAATATAGAAGCTCTAAAGAAGATACAATTAAATATCAGATAGCCTATATGAAGAGTGATGACAGTGTGAAGAGTGAATAGTAGAAGATAGTATATAGTATGTGATAGCAGGAATAATATAATAATAATATAGTAGCTAGTCACTAAGAAAAAGAAGAAAGAGAAAAGAAGATATGTGAAATACATGCAAATATATATATATATATAGAAATAGTAATAGTGAGAATATAATAAGAAAGATAAGAATAAACAAAGATATATAAGAGAATAATAAATGAGTTCATTACAATTTACAGCTTATTAGACAGTAAAATGAAGTTTCTAAAAATTATATAAAAATTTTAAAGAATCAAATATTACTTTATTTTATAACTGAAATAATTGAATATACAAATCTACAGTGAATACTTAATTTTTTTTAAATACTGATTTATAATTGACTGATAACTTATTGGGCACTAGTTGCTCAGATGGCTCTTCACTGCACATAATTACCTCTATATAGTTAGCTAGTGATCACAACAATAACAAAATCAACCATCCCACAGATTATAATTCAGATAGCAGATTTTTAAGAAAAAATAATATATTTTGATTAGAATACACTGCAATCAATGTTATATTGAATGAGTTAGACATTATTTCTCTAAAAAAAGAGCTCTTTGTCTATAAAAGTGATGTAATTGACAGAATTACTGTCAAAACTGCTACAGAGATTTCATTACTATTTTAAAGAAATCAAAAACTTATTTATTTATTTTTATTCAGAATCTTTCTAAATCAGATTGATTATAAGTGATTCTCAATTATCTGCAATCTTTATATTAGAATATAAAAAGATACTATATTTATAATCAAGAGTCTCTCAATTCTTTTTCTTTGTTACTGAGTAAGAATTCATCTCAGAAGCAGAGAATGATCAAACTGAATATATAATAACAGAGAAAGATATAATAATCTCTGACTCAGTATAAAATACTGATAAGATATCAGAATATAAGAAATCTGAAAATAACATACTCAGTTCTATATCAATATCTATATCAAATTCTAATAGTATAGTGATTATAGCAGCAGCAGATTTCATTGCACTCTGTGAGTGACTGATATCAGTATATATACTGTCATCTTCTTCATTATCTTCTTCTTCATCTTCATCTCTCTCAAACTCTATATCAGAAGAAGATTCAAATATACTGACTTATAAATATTAGAAGAAAGCACAGATCTTATTGAATACAAAGTTCATTATTATATTCAATGATATCAATTATCAGATATAAAAGATGGCATTCTTTTTAGATACAGAGATGATTAGTAATATAAATATTCTCAATAAAAATCAACAGAAATTATCTGAAAGTTTATCAATACTCAAGTAATAATATTGAGTAATATATTCAAAACTACTCTTCTGTTATATATTACAATCTCTGATAGATTCTATTCATTTGATTATAAGATTCATTCAATTCAACAATGCAGCAGCTCTATAATATAAAATAAACACAATATATATAATATCTCTAGAGAAGAAAAGAATTAATATTCTCAAAGAATTTATTCATTTATATATCAAGAACAGTGATTATCTAATATATATATATCAATATCACTATCTGTCTACTTGCATGCAATAATTAATAAAGAATCATAATAAAAACTATCTTTATAATTTCTTTATTATCAATTTCTGAGATTATCAGAGAATCTATATTAAATCATATCTTGATATATTCTATAAAATAGATCAGAGTCTGATTGTTAATCTAGATATCAATAATTTTACAAAATAAATTGCTCATCAGATGAATAAGTCAGAGGATTCTAAATATTTCAAAACTTCAAAAATCAATACAGTTAGACTGACTGTATGATTATGTATGAGACTGAGATTAAATTTTTCCTCAGTTTCATTATTAGATATCTTAGTTCTGATCTTATATAATGTTTAGCAAATTAGTTACTTTACACTGTTTATATTATAAATCTAATCTCAGATCATGTTTTACTAATAAATTAATAATTTTGATTTCATTTGATTTCATTTTACAAAATGAGATCAAATGGAACTATAATTTACTTTATATAGATTGACAGCAATAGATAGATTGACAGCAGTAGATAGATTGACAGTAGTAGATAGATTGACAGCAATAGATTAGCAGCAATAGATTAGCAGTGATAGATTAGCAGCAATAGATTAGCAGTGATAGATAGATTGACAGCAGTAGATAGATTGACAGTGGTAGATAGATTGACAGCAATAGATAGATTAACAGCAGTGAGTAGATTGACAGTAGCACTAAGCAAGATAGAAGTAATATCTCCACCAATTATATTATCAGATTGATGTATTATATAATTATCAGAATGGGATCAAACTTGAGTCAAAATTATAATCAGTTTCAGATTATATTCTGATTTTGATAGTCAGTCACTTTATATGGAATATCAAGATTTTTTAGTCTCATTTTATTTATATTTTGATAATTCTAGTCACTTTACACTTTCATTTTAATTCTGATCTCACTAAAATCATATCAAAAAATGGACTGAAATCAAATCAAATCAAATCAAATGTGTAATTCATAGTTCCAGTGGCCAGTCTAAATACAGTCATCAATAATAATAATAATAATATCATAATTATCATCATAATCTCACAGTGCAGATACTATAAAATCTCAGAGTATATAAAAATTAATTATTATTATCTAAACTCTGACAAAGTATCTGAGTAATGAAGAAAGAAAAATAAAAATAATAAAAACACTGATAATACTGAGAGTATTAAAAAGAAGAGAAAGAATAAGAAAAAAAATAAGAATAATAATAAATCTACTGATATCAGAGTGTCAGATCTTCTTATTTTATAATTTAATATTAATACAGTATTTATTTTATCTATATTATCTACTATAATATTCAAATCTTAATATCTCAACATCTGCATAAGCTTTAATATAATAGATGAAAGATACTTATTGATGTATACAAAGTTATTTGAGAGAGATTTAGAGATAATTACTGTGAATGATAATGTAGAATAGATTGAGAAAATAGATAATATTCTTCTAGAATCAGAAAAGAGAGATATCTCAGTGAATTATATTCACTGAATTTTTAATCTCACTATTAATCTTCTATTCTTTGCAAAGTTAGAAGATCAAGATTTCAGATATCAATTATCTGATATCATCTCTTCTTATTTTATAATAAGAGTCTTAAACAGTGTCAACTTCATCATTGTTTATATATTCAAAGAATCAGTCTATAAAATAATAGAATAAGAATCTCAAATAGATATTCATCACTCATTTCAGATTATTCATTTTATAATTAAATCTTACAATTACAGAAATATAATATTGATAACTGTGAAGAAATCTAGCAATTAATCTAGCAATCACAATTCTCTGATAAGAATATTTATGAAATAATATATCACTCTAAAATATATTTATACTGATATAATTATTATACTAGCAAAGAATCTATTATTTAATATTTATATTAAAGAATCTAAAACAGACTTCTTCTGCAATAGCTGTATCAAAACAGATATAATATATAAGTTCTTATAAACTCTCATACTATAAATATTGTGAGTAATATAATATATTTATATTGATTTTACTGACAGTAATTGTACACTGAATGATATATCTGATTACTCTATAGAATCTTATCAAAGAATCAAATATTATATATTTATTACTGATAATATTATTTATTATAGATAAATCTATTTTTTACACACTAAGAATCAAACTATTGAATTTTATACTCACTGAATTTAATTTATAAAAAATCTCAGCTTTACATCATCAGCACTAGTTAGAATTAATATTAATAATATCTTTTAATTAAATAAAATAATAATAATGATAATTAAAGATGATACTATCTGAGAATCTACTATATTTCAATCCTCTCATCAAGATAATATTTCTGAGAGAGAAATTTATATAATAATGATGTGTACTAGAGCAGTGTTTATAGATATAAATATATTAAAGAAATTCTAAACAGATGTTCTCAAAACAGTAGTTGCAATTGTCAACAACACTTTAATATCTATCACTCTATATAATAAAAAATACTGATCTATTAATATTAAAGAAACATCTATACAATATCTCTATATCATCTCATTCTCAGTATAATCGAT